ACTTGAGTCTAGTCTATGTGGTGGTGGAAGACCGGCCCGTGCCGACGCAACGCGGCGCGACTCGACTGCGACCCCGAGGGAAGGGATTTAGAAGTTGTATATATACGAGAGAAAGACTGCTCGAGCGCTTGCGAGAAAGTCGCTGACTTGACGCTGATGTCCCTCTAGCGGCGAGGAATGCGAAATCTATTGCTACTGTTGTGTTGCATTCGGTTCCGACAGCGGAAAGTAATAATTACTATTATTTATTAGTTAATATCGACGACGTACGATACCGCGACTATGATTCCGTTAACCCTTTGCACTCGGATATCCACTGGGGATAGAGTCACGTTGTACGTGACAGATATTACAGGTTATGTTAATTAATTAATTCGACCGTGTTCCCTTGGATAAACGTGTGCTTATGGAAATGGAAATTGCGAGAGAAAGCGGGCCAACCATTCCTTAACTATGAATAGTTGTTCTGTGAAAAGAATATCAAGTAAAGGATTTCCTATAAATGGCTTCGGTCTCTGTTTAATGATCAAAAAAAAAATAAATATAAATATAAATATAAATATAAATATAAATATATCTGAGACTAACTTCCGATAACCTCCTGGTTGTTAACATTTTGCACTCGGGAGATGACAGACAGTCCCAACTTAACCCTGATGTAGTTACTCCAAAAGTGACATGTGACTATCTACCTTGATGCAGTCAATCTCAAGGTAGATAATGTTTACAAGGTTTTATTTTATTTCGATGTAATTCCACTTATCAATCGTATAATTCTCTGACAGGTAAAGGAAACTTGATTATGAAAGGTTAAATTAATTGCAATTATGCAACTTCCAAGCTAATATACGGCTTTGCATTTACGTTGTACATAGTTAAGAAAGCATTCTACAGTTGTTGATACATACTACAAAAGAGAAAAAAGAAAAGGCCTTGAATGCCAAAGGGTTAATTCACACCTAGCAACGAAACATACATAGTTACACCAATCGCATAGAAAAACTTGTCTTAATTTTGTTTGTTAACCAATGTATCATACGTTCCACAGTCCGATTTACACACTGTATCTCACTGACGCTACACTAACAATGCACTCATCTCCAAGCAATCAGGATCGGTGCAAACATCCACTTGTTGTCGGCGATGAGTTTCTTGTGATCGTATCAGCATAAAGACAATCCTTTTGCAGGTTTCTTCTCCTCTCGTACAAGCTTCCGGGCACAATCTTGGGCACAAAGAAACTCCACTCCAAGAAGGAATAACTTCGATTGACATTTCCCATCCGATAACCTCCGCTAACGCCTTTGATCACTTATCTTTCTCTTCTCCCTGCAAAATTAAAAAAAATTATGTTAGATTACTTCTCTTCTCTCGAAAAGAAACCAACGATAACAGTCCAAATAGCAACAACCTCGTTTTAAGTGCCATATCCGCCAACGTGTAAGTTAACCTTTTGCATTTCTTCCCTCGTCTTCTTACGTTTACGCGTTACGCGTCTCATATTATTATTCGACATCGTTCTGTCTTTGTCTCTCCTACGATTCTTGTATCTCCTCTCTGTCACAGTATCATTAGAGAAACAAGGATCTATCTATCCTTGTCCCGGAGCTTCCTACTTTTTCCGCAACTGTCACTCAACTCGACTCAACTCAACTCAACTCGGAGTTTTGCGCTCTGACTCCTTCTTACTCCTGCTCTGGTCGCTTTCACTCGTACGAGATAGTGTTCAATGTGACTCGAATCGTGTGGGGTATTTTATCCTCAGTGTGTAGCCAATCCTCACTTGAGTATAACTACGTATATCATTGCATCTTTTGTTACGTCACATGTTTACATGCTTTATATATCCATGTTTGCATGCGTTCATTCGTACGTCGTGTGCTGTAGGTTACATCGGAGATCCTAGTACGAACACTCTTTGTGTATATCGTACTGAACATTGTAGTGTGTGCCTCTTGCAGTTCTCCTTGTTGGAAACAATGTCGACGACTTTCCAACATTCATCGGTATTCAGATTTGAAATTTCGTATTTTCATTAGAATCGTGACAAAATGGGAAGTTATGCGAGCAGAATTGCGTCGATGTCAAACAATGCGGTGCACTCCGTGTACCGTGGTCGTAAACGAAAGTGCATCGAAGAGGATGATTTTGATTCCGAATCGGATTACATCAACCGAACGCTTCAAACGCCGAAAAAGTATGTATGAATAGAAATTTCAATAAATAATCGTTCATAGGTATTGTACAAGTATGTCGTCGGGAGTGCTATTTAACGTTTGCATCATCGAAAAAAATAACTTCCTAATTATCACACTGATACTTAACGAATTAAAAATGGCTTAAGATATGTATATACATATATCGTTATTCTTATTTCGTTACACATTTTTCAGAAGAAAATTATTGACAACAGCACAATACATATACAAAACATTATTTCAAGAAGAAAAAGGTAGCGATATAACTGTGTTCATGTTAGGGAAAGCATGGAGATTACATAAAGTTTACATCAGTCAGGTAAAGTGTTTTGTTTTCTATATATATAATGTTTTTTCCTCTATTTATAAATAACATTTATTTTTATTGTTTTTTACAGAGCCCATATTTTGCGAGCATGTTTTCAGGCTCATGGAGGGAAGCTAACGAGACAGTTATCAGTGTTGAGATCGCGGATCCTAACATCACATTGGATTGTAAATAATATTTATATCAAAAACTCCGTATCTGTAATAAAGATAAATGTTTAGTTTAATTTTAAATATTTTCAGCTCTTTTGACCGTCTTTGGTTCCTTTTACCAGGATGAAGTCAGTTTGGAACCAAAAGATGTTACATCGATTTTAGCTACCTCTACGTTATTCCAGTTGCAAGGATTGATCGACCAATGCACAGACATCATGGTAGAAACAACAAATATAAAAACTGTTGTTCCTTACTATAATGCAGCTGTATCGTATGGTGTACCAGTGGTGAAAGCTGCAGCCAAGAGGTGGTTGGAAGTTAATCTCTTAGGATACGGATGGTTGCATAGAACATTTTTAAAAGAAATCACGCCTGATTTAATGGCTGAGTTAATTGCTAGTCCTGACTTAATTGCCATGCAAACAGAATTCTGCATATATATGCTGCTAAGAGTGTGGTGAGTAATAAGATACGTTAATGAAATTATAACGTTTCTCTCCTACGAAATAATAAATTATATCGCAGGTTGTTTGTTCATATGCACAATAAAGAAGAAAGTCTTGAAATTGAGGAATATTTTAGAAATCATAAGTGGGTGAAACCATTCCTTACAACGGAAGAAGGCAAAGAATTTGTAAAACCTTTCCAAGCATTGAGAATGAAGTATCTTTTATTACACGACCAAGATGTAAAAATTTTATACAGCGATAATTTAATACCGCACGAATGGTTGCACAACGCGTATAAGGAACAATGGTTACATTTATTAAGAATAGATGCAAATAAGGATCACGGGTAAGTTATGAAATTTATACGTTTTCTAAACGTATCTTTCAACTATGCTCAGGTCGACGAATATAGTAGAAATTCCTGAATGTCTTTCTCCTCCCTTTCCTTTTTATATCCAGCTTTGCAGACAGAGTATTTACTTTGAAAAGCCTACTCCAATATTTGTCAATCCGCTTTAGGTACCTATGACAATCTCTCTATTTATAATAACGTGATGAGAAAGTAATCGACAAGTGAAAAATATCGTACGAAAGATTATAAAACGCAATGCTTTTCCTTTAACGTCGTAGACCAAAACAAATGAGCGAAGAAGAATTTTCTCGCGAATGTTTCCGATGCGGAAGATGCATCGAGAAAGCCGGCGAACATGTTTGGAGATGGAGTGCCTTTCATTTTGGATTAGATTTGGTTGTGTGGTTAGATAGTACCACCTTGCGGATTAAGAGGAATCACAAACTAGACACGGATCACATTAAAGCAAATCATAATCAGCACAATATAATTTTAAAGTGAATACGGGTTTATTACGAAATTTCAAAAAATTAAAATAAAAATATAATAAAAATATTTTTTTTTTTTTTATAGAGTAAGTTTAATTTCATTGGATGAACAACGCCAAGAAAAACATATTCAGAGTTCTGGGATGCTTAGGTTGTCACTTCATAAAAACGAAGAAGTAAGTATTTCTGTTTTTTTTTTCGATTTCATGGCCGTATATAACATCGCTAAAGAAATATATTTTACGTTACAGAAACAAGTAATGTCTCTGGATAAAGAACTTACTTATCCATTGTATATATCGGTCAATATGCAAGTGGTAACGCCTTTCGTATCAACGGAAGAGGAAAAATCAGCCGATATAATCATATTCTCGGATACTTAGCACCCTAAATGTTCGCCACCTCCTCAACCGTCGAAGACATTCAACTCCGATAATTGTACGTTCATACATAATCCGACTATTTCATTTCACAACGCTTGATTTAAGAGTAAGTGCTATTTAATAATTAATGCTCCTTTGTTGGAAAGAATATTCGTATAATTGATTTTTTCTTTATGTAAATTTTACTATTCGATCATGTGACGTTTATATTGTGGAGATACCAATTTCTGATTAAAATTTTTGCAATCTCAACATCTAGTCGACTAAACATTCGCAGCATTAGTACGATGGAAATCTTGCATATTTGAGTAATTTTTAGTAGTGTAATCCAGAGACTTATTTTCTTTTAACATAAATACACTTAATATTCATAGGCTTATATAAGCACTACTAAAACAATTCCTGTAACTAGAAGATAATATGTAATGTGTTAAGTGTTCTAAAACAGAGGTTATTCTATATTGAATATAAAACGAGATCCGGAAGATCGAATTAAAAAGTGTTATGTACATGTAGTATACAACAGTATTAGAGGCGTTTGATTTTACTGTTTATGCATTTACATATTTACACCATGAAGTTGCTAATGATAACAAGTTAGATGAATCCATTAATTCTTCAAACTATCATCCGAAAGAACTGAATGTGTTTTTTTAAAGCGAATTCAAACAAGCTGATAGAATAATTCTGTCTTTCGGCTAGTCATCGAAGAATTGACCTTCGGACTGTGTGAATATCGATCGAGACGAAATGTTCTGTATAATAAGTGTACAACTAAACGACGCATAACAAACGTTCCTTCGATTCCGTAATCGATTTATTCGATATGGTGCTAGCTATCATCTGATAAGGATACAATTTTACATTTCACTTATTAATCTATATATAAGTATATAAGAAACTATTCAGCTTAGGAATTAAAATTTTTCTACACTTGACGAGCGTTATTAACTTCAAATTAATACCTCGATGGAAAAATACAACGAGTTTTGCATAGTACCAACAGCATTATGATTTACTCCTTACCTCTGTTACGGAATTTCATTTGGATATATGTATAATTTTGGGAGGATTACAGCACAAGCGAGCGACTAATCGTTCGAGGTACCGAACGACTACCACCCACGTACTATACTTCGTTGATTTGATTCTCATCTTCGAACAGCGTAATTTTATACACACGAAGAAAATTTAAATTTCAGTCAGCGAAACTAAGATCATTCTGTGAATTTGCTATGATCAATTATGGATGAAGGTTGCATTAGTCATTCGAACATCACGGAATGCGTATAAACGACGTTTATAATACTATCGAGGGTCTCTGAAATTTCAAGGTATGTTTGAATGATCTTCCTCTTTTTTTTTTTTTTTTTTTTTCTTTTTTTTGTAACCATTCAACTCTTTATTGGCAGAATATTCTCTGTACATAATGATCGATGCGTACAATGCAATATTGATATCATATGGCAATAAAAGTTACAGTAAAATTAAGTTAATTTCGCGCAACAATTCTCTTAGTACCTGTCAGAGAATGTCTCGTATATTTGCTAATGGAACATAACGTATATATGTGTATCGTAACAAAACAACATTGAACCGATGATGCAGTACGAATGCAATATACATCTCCTCGTTTCCGTTTTTCTCTCACTCTCGCTCGATATGCTTGATCAGGGGGCAGTGTCGCCAGTAGTTTCTTTTTACTAAAGTATGCCAGGTGATTATGAATGGACGATATGTGTGAAGCGAGTTTCGCAACAAGTTTATGGAACCCTGTACTTTGAAACAAGCACCCGGAGAAACAGTTACGTTAGATTCCTCGAAATGTGAATCCTCCTAAGATCCACCAAATACGTTAGAAGGAAATAGAACTTTGAGAAGTGATATTCTTGTTTATTTGTATTTGTTTGACGTCACAGTTTCTATGGTCATCGGGAATCGCGGTACATCTAATTCCACAGAGCAGCGACAAAGGGTTTCGTTGACAGTTGTCTTCTATGAATTTTGTAGTCGTTCAAGGCTACTTCCCCAACACACAATTCGCGATAGTTCTACTTGTAAAATATTTACTCATTTTTCTCTCGACTCCTTCGAAAAAATAACAAACGAGACACGAAGTGGCGGAACCTTGCGTCAATGGCCTTGAACAACTAAAGCCTTCGCTCTTGCTAAAAACAGAGCGATTCGCGATAAAGTTCTAATCTCTAAAATCGGCTTAAACGTTACGTACAGATGAGCAACTACTCGGTAGTTACAATTTTGTGACGTGTTTACGTCGAGTTTCAAGCAAAAATAAGGATAATTATTTACCCTAGTAATGAGCAAAAAAAAGAATATTTATTCTAAATTATTTTTAACAGACGGCTAGGCATCTTTAGGTCATATTATACAGCTTTTTATCATCTAAAACAGCTAGACGATTACCTAAACTAATTGAGCGGAACGTAATGAGATACACTTTCGTCTATACTTTTGTTGTTGTTTTTGTTTTTGTTTAAAATTTTTTCTCTTCTTTTTTCTCGTAACCGTTGCTCCAGGTTTTATGCTTTGAATAGAATATGCATTCTTGTCCCTATAACGGGTGGGAAAAAAGGAGGAAAATTCAATGAGAATACAGGATCGCGTTCCTCCGCGAACGCCACTCTTTCGAAGCAAGCTGCGCGACGCGTGCAACTTTTCAACTGTACGTGTATCAAAAGAATGCGAGTCAATGCTTTCAAGGATTTCAAACTCCGTGCTTGTTCGTATGCTCATCCGCAGTCCGATGTAAACCGAAATTTAATTGAAAGCCGTAATCGAAAACATCGAGACCTTTTGTTTCATCATCCCTTACTTCAAGGTCACTTGTTCGGTCCCGTAAGATGCCAAAAAAGTGTTTGCCATCGGTACGCGAGTCCGTCGTTACTTTTACCATTAGGTAACGATAATAAACATCATCGTCGCTCAAGAATCATAACCAACAGTAATAATAATAATAATAATAATAATAATAATAATGGCAAAGATAGGAATAATCGAAACAATAATAATTACGTTAGTGACATTAGAGGTATCTAGCAATGATAGCCGTAGTACCGACTGTAGTAGCGATAGTAGTAGTAGTAGTAGCAACCGTAATAATAGTGTAACGATGATGATGACACGACACGGTGACAACAGCGGTAGCGTCGATTAATTTGGGTACTGCGGTGAGACATGGGTTCGTTTTGTTTGTTCAATAAGCCTTCTACTTTACCCTCTACATTTTTCACCATCGACGTTTCTACGATCTTCGTTACGGTTTTGTTACGACTCTGTGCGTACTTGGGGCCACCGAGATGTTTTTCTCTTAACCCTTTGCGCTAGGTCTCACCCCTAACGGGAAGCTTGATACAGTCGATGAAACAAAATGGTAGGGCGCAGTTTCATTCGAAGAATTCTTTCAAAGTATGTACATAAAAGTTTAGCGTTATACATTCCTGATCGTAATAACATTAGTGTTCCTCGTCGAATGTTCAAACACGATCGGATCGAATTGTGGCAATCGAAGCTGGTCGAGAACAAAGAACAATTACAGCGCAAAGGGTTAAATAACTTCCAAGTTTCTCTTCTCGGAGGAGTAGAGTACGTTTATTTTGACATGTTTCTCATATTTTTTCGGTTTTCTGTTTTTAGTTCGGCTACGGTTGAAGAAGTAGCAACATTTCACGTCTTCGATCCAACTATTTGTAAAGTTTATAGCGTTTCTTTCACGCGCGTAGACGTACTATACAGGTGTACACGCATCCACGCAGCCGCGCGCACATTCACGTACACACACACGCGCGCGCGCACGCGCACGTATCAGTTCTTTTCTTTCGCGAGCTTACGCTACAGTCTATCATATACGTACAGCATTTTATTGCAAAAATCAGCGGAACACGGGTCGCGATTGTAACGTCGAAATCGTCGTTGTCTTATCCTCTTATTTCGTTCTTGTCGACGGAATACAAAATATACATGTACGCATAGACGATAGTCCCGCGTACATTTCCGATCGGATATATTTGTCGCGATAACGCGCGTTCACGAAAGCGACCCGATGTTATTTCTCTAAAAATAAGCTGTAATATCCTTCTTGCGTGCAATTCCATGTCTGCTTTCTTCCAATAAAATATAATATACATTTGTTTCTCTGTTCAGCAGCAGCGCACAAACATGCGAACGTATTCGCAATGTCGCTACTTCATGTATGTATATATCATATATATATATTTATTTATTCATTATATATATCGTCGAGGTTTTAATTCTCGTAGATATTTCAATTATTTACTTTCTACGCTTATGCGAGAGACGCGGAGTGGTTTCACGCGGAGGCCGTGTTTGTGTGTGTATGTGTCCACTTTGTTTTCTCCAACTCTTAATTGCAATCTTCGTCGAAGAAATGTACTACTCAAGTACGCTCTTGCGTATTTCTGGCAGTTTGTATCACCGTTACGACTACTGTTCTGTTATTCGACTACAAGTATTTCTTTTTTTTTTTCTTTTTCTGCGAATCGTTGGAATCCCGAATCCGTTACCTTGGCGTGTTGTGCTCTTTCACTCTCTCGATCGAGTGTCTACTATCGAGAATAGGAGCGACATCGGTGGCTCTCACTGGTTAACCAACTCGTTAACGATCGCTCCGAGTCACGCTGTATTTTCTTTCATTCTTTCTTTTTTCTTTTTTTCTTTTTTTTTCTTACTTTTCATCGGCAAAAGAACGAGAAACGAAAGAATGTTCAAGTTTTTAACACGTAATACACATAAGCACGGTACAGCTTGGATCTTCTTTTCGTGATCGATTCAGCGCGTGACCCCAGTTTATCGTTTCAGACGATCCCCCCCTGTACAGATCGAATCGATCGCGATCCAAGACCTTTCGCAAACGTCGTTTAAACAGCAAACGAAAACGAGTTGGGTCCAGTTCCAACACTCTCTATCGAATCGTTGATTCGGTTTAGGCGTCGAGTGTTGCGTCCGTTGATGGCCGAGGATACTTTAGGCTATGGAAAAGTACGGGGAGGTTAAGACGGGTATTGCGAACGGGTACGAAAGAAAGAAGCTCGGCACTGCGAGGATGACCGCGAACAGAGACGTCAACGGCAGTAAGAAGGACGGCGTATGGCTTTCAGCCGAGTTGCAGAGATCACCGGTGCATGAGCAATAAAACGCCTGAACGTCGTGAGTTCCTGACCTCCTCACGCATTCGGCATTGTCCCTCTCGTCTGTGATGTATCCGCAACCTCTGACAACTCTGATCTTCCCGTACACTGGAAAATCGATCAAACGGTTACACACGGTTACGGTCAGAGATCAAACCTTTGCTACAGATATCGATAAATGAGAATAAAACTGTAATATTTTGGAATCGGGGGTGCAGATGGCGTCGTTCAGCAGACATCGCCTGCGCAAACTTTCAGAGGACAGGCGGAGAAGAATGCGAAGGCGATTATGTAAGCGTTGTTCGAGGAAATGATACGCGGTCTCGTGAATTTTTGTTAACGTTGTCGCGAGTGTGAAGGGACACGCTTCCACACGTGCGTACTTTTTCTAAATGGATGTCGGGGTTGAAAGTTTTAGGGTACGAGGCCGCCGCAATGCAGGCAACCGTTTATACTTGCTCGCTAACTTGCTCGTTAATACGAACGATATGTATACTGGTTCACTTTCACTTTTTTCTACGTACCTTTTTGGCTGATTTTTCGACAGATGGTAGGTTCCAGATGATTTAGGTGCTCCAGCCGTGGCTGAAGACTGCAATTCACGGTTCCAAGACTGTACGGGTCGAATGGATCGCCGCACCTTGGATCGTATTCGCTGTTGCATTGGTAGCATGTTATTGCTTCACCTGGAAAACAAGCGCAAGTTATTTACCGACGATTACAAAAGAAATTGACGCCGAGTTTCGATGATCTAACACCGCTTTACATCGCGTATCGATCCTACCTCCTTAAACAAGCGTATCAATTTTCTTGTTTGCGGGAAGCTTGGACGGAAAGTCCGAAAGGGAGAACATTGCCGTAATTGTATTTACAGCATGGTACAATGTTGAAACATCAGACTATTTAGACTGACTATACAGACATTAGGATATGGGCAAGTTAAAAGTTGGACGAATCGTCTCGCCACGTTTCGACTTTATCGCGTATTACAGTTTACTCGCGAACGGACCACCAATGTGTACTATTGCTAGCCTTGTCATAAATAATATTTCTAAGAATTTAACATTTAACGAGCGTGCGACGGTGCTTTGATTTTTTAAGGAACCTGCCAAGTCTGAGGGTTCGTTTCACGCTCGGTCTATCCAAATGTCAGCGATTGGCTACGACCCTGCCGCGTTGTGACGTCACAACGCAACCCCATTCACCCTCCCAACAGAGTTACAGCACCAGCTGATATCGAGCAGGAAGACCCCGAGCAATACGCGCGATGACCTACTGATACACTCGCGGGAAAATGGGACTACTTATGCATGATTGAAACGTACATTCCCGGTCGGATATATTGCGAAATACGTTTACACATATTTTCTTCATTTGTTTGCGCATTAAATTGTAATTTGAACTTTTCGAAGGGAAAGCAATCTTTCAGCTGTTCCCGCGGAAGGAATATTCGTTACTTGAGAGACTTGACAAGTAAATAACATCGAGCTCGCGATTCTTTAAACACCGACCGTCGCGCATGGAAATATGGAACGGAATGCTCGGCACCCTGACCTTGAGCAAACTCTGCAGCAGGCCGTCCCGCCGTTCCGCCGTTCCGCCGTCCGGCCGTCTGGCCCGACGTTTCCGGTATTGTTAATCACTCGCGCATCAAACTTTTATCGCGTCCAAACACCTAGGCAACCTATAGCTACGACAATTCGATCGATTCCTATCAATTACTCGCGCTTTCAATTTCCTCTATTTATAATCGAATAAACCTCGCAAACAAACCGCACGCACCATATTCTCATTCGTAGGCGGAAGTTTTGCTTATCTCCGAAAGAAACGATCCCTTGGCAGGTCGATTAAAGAGGACAAGCTGAAGAGCCGCGGTGAAAGCCGCCGATTCAAGTTGGAAGGCTTTGTACTGCTTCAACGATAGAGGTGTGAAAACATTGATCAGGAGTGTAGGTGGACGGACTCTCTTCAATGACATTTGAAACCACGCGAGACGTTCGATCAGCGGTAAATAGGCCAGAGGCCGGCTGGGGTGGCAGACGGTAGGGGCGAATCGCGTGAGGAACCAACAAGCTCTGCGTGACATTGCGGATCCTTATGTAATCGACAACAACTGAAAACGAAGGATTCGGCCGGGCTCGGTCTTCTCGTTGACACAAATACGCCCGCGATCGCGGCCAAATCTCCTTCGAACATCCTTTTATCGCGATATATAAGAATCGCAACTCGTATCAAAATGTCTACGGTATTACGTCTTTTGATGCAATTTGCACGCGCGCGCTCGCAAAGATAAAGAAACACGATCGCTTCGCGACTGATTCGAGGGCGTAGAGTTTGAGTAAACGGTGCCAAGATGCAGGGGTTGCAAAGACGCGATACAGCGACGCAGATTTTATTAAAATTTCGTCGATAAGCCAAGGTTAACACGAGAAACATCCCCTTGGTCACGGTACCACGCGGTGCAGGGAGAATAGAATTCGGTGAAGGAGAGTATGAGAGAATGCAGCGGGAGAGAGGGGAGAAAGTGGGTCGCTCGATAACCCTCGCGGAGGCCAGGTTCTATGAACCAAAAATTCGAAATTTCAACAATCTATGATAATAATCGTTTTTATACAAATTATCCATCGCTTAGCCGAGACTCCTATCCATACTTTTCTTTACCAATTAACGCAAACGAATATTACATCCCCCGTTAACTTGATCTGCACCGTGAAATTGTTCCTTTAAGGTCACGCTATAACGATGCACGCATCGCTTACGTCACGCTCATAGTTTGACACTTTCAATCAACATTAACTTCATTTCGACGATTATTATTTGGACGTCTGAACAATAGCTTTGTACAACAAAGAAAAACATATGTATTTTTCACTTGGATACCCATTGTATAAGAAATTAGTGTCTGTATCCTGGGCCGGAAATACAGTTAATATTATATTGTAATATTAGTATTCGTTGAAATTCGGATTGCAATCTTTATCGAACAAATAACAAAATCGAAAGCAGTTACTCTTTCATTCGTACAAGCGCTATCGATCGCATTCTTGCAAAATATAGTACATAATAGTGCTTGTTACGAAACGTCGATACTTTTGTATCGTTTCGTACCGTCGCAGTGCTTCCAAGTTTCCTGAAAGTTGCTCTTTTTATTAATAGGATCAACTTCTATGGCTATACTTCTCCGTGAAATACAAGCAGTTTACCGGGCAACATCCAAGCATCGATATTTAATTTTCTATCACATTTACATTCTAATAGAAACAATTCTAGTGCACGTCGGAACAGAGTTATCTCGAAAACTAAGACAACGCCCCGAGTCGTCGAGGGTGTCATCTTCGACGCTCTTTACTCGACACTTGTTGTAAATCAAAGTACCAAATGTACTAAAAGTAATTCGACCGATAGAACCGCAGCCTCTAACTTCGGTTGACCTGTTTTCTTTCCGTGCGATTTACTTTTATAATGAGATTCGATTTAAAAATTGGGTACAACTCGGTTGTAGCCAACCACCGAGGAAGTACTACAAGTGCTACCATCGTACGAGTTCCCTGACGAACATCTGGAACACCACTGCTAATCCTCTACGGCACCGTCTTGCACTAATTGTCCCCGTTTCCGATCATTTTTACATACCCGAAGATCAGAAACGCGTAAACTAATTATATCTAAACGGGATAAAAGATAAAACATCCTCTATCCGTTGCTTTTCCATTGGAAAATTTTAACTCGAAAATATTGTATATCTTTTGCCATCTAAGTAAGACTAGAAGATGTGCCACAACATTTCTAGAGCAAATCGTGATCTTTATGTAACCCGAAATCAATATTCCGTCTCCGTTTCCGAAATCATTTACCGCGACTTCCGCCTAGCAAGAGACAAGTGGCCCATCGATTCTGAACGATTTCGCGCTCAAAGGATTCGCCATGAACGCGAGTATCGGTCCGAGTACCACTGAATCGCGATAGTTGGCCCTTTTTTCGTTATTTCATTCATCCCCCCTTTTAACTCTGGCGTCCGTGTTACAAAAAATCGGAAAAAATGACAAAAATGTTACAGAAATCAATGGGACACATCGAATCATTTCCACTCCTCTGTAGATGGTTGCTTTTCTAGTTGGTACCGCATTGCGCTGCAACGTGCGCCGCTCTTTCGAAAAGTCAACGAAATCAACGACAAAGTTCGTTCGATTCGCTGGTTCGATCGTACATCAAATTAGCTGATAAAATCATCGACGAGCTTTCCGGTTCAAGACCAAAAGAAATCAACTTTTAAATAGACTACCTCGATTTAGTGCGATTTCTGCAGCGATACTGTTACGTAACGAAATAACTGTATGTATATCTTGTTCGATTCATACCAGTTTTCCGAAGAAACTGGTCTCATTTTTCTTATAATTTAAGATACGAGCTAGAAAGAGACGCATATTTTGGAAGTTGCCAACGTCCTAAACTGCTTTCGACTTTATCGCAAAATATTAGAGTATTCGTTGAATGACTACTACGAACGACGGAAAGTTCCAACGAGAACTAATAGAGTATTAGATGAATGCTTTATACTATATTATGCTATATATGTATATTGGTAATAGTAATTACAAGTTCGTAGATGTAGGAAATTCCGCGTGTGCGAGTCGAATGAATTTAGCTGATAGCGGTTTGTTTGAGTGGAACGTGATTGAAACGATAGGTGCAAGTCCCACTCACCGTGATGGATAGACGACACCAGGACCACGAGGACGAGGGTGACGATCGGAGTGAGACGGTTTGCAATCATGATCACAATCACCGGATCATGTGTTTCAACCAATCGCGTTGCAGTCAGTCACTTCGGACGTGTTGCCTCCACCCTCGCTGCATGGAAAGTTGGCACGCAATCGGCGGGTCCGATCGGTTGATTAGTTTTCGTGTCGCGGGACCGTAATGAGAATCGAACAGTGAAAGAAGATGGATCGGCGGGAATTTATTCGATGGCAGTGCTCGATCGACGACCAAGGTGCTCTTCCCTGTTTCTCACGTCCGAAATGACTGAACGAACGCAACGGAACCTTCTTCTTTCTCGCGTGGTGCACCGTGCGTGATCGCGGACGCGTCGCGTCTGACGAGAATCCGATGAGTTTCCGTCGGCTATGCGGCAGATCTGCCCCCCTCTGGTTTTTCCATGCGCTTTACGAGCACCCGCCGTTCACCGCCGTACCCCGCCCCAGCCCTCGAGCCAACTTTCGTCAGTCAGGTATATATTTACCCTGATTTTCGCTATCGCCGTTCCTTTCTTTTTTCGAATATTACGATGATCGTCTAATTCAGAAAAAGAAAACAAAAAAACATTTCGTTACCGTTCACTGAAAACACTTCGAAACTTAACGTTTCAACAATTTCGGGTTGAAAATTCAAATCTGTCGCTTCGCTTTGACTACGAGAATTTCCATTAGTATGCGTTTCAACATGTTACCTTTTATTTAGACGTATCTTTAGAGAGAATGTTGTCATTTGAATTGCTGCTTTCTTCGTAACTGCTATCATGTTATTACCTTATTTTGGTTCGTTTAGAGTGAAGATAAAGTCGAAAATTATATAACCGCTTCAACGATTGCCGATACCAGTGATTGTAATTTTCTGCGCAGCATCGAATAGAAACATTCCAGACGTAGTATTAGAATTTAAAACATCCTCCAATATCTGATGTCACTGTAAACATTCTGATTGCAAATTGTCGCACGAGTAGTACCGATAGCTCATAGTCGGACACTTTGCAGTAGCGAACGGTGATGTAGTCAGACCTAGAAAATACATATGTATACATGTATGCATAGCGATGAATTTTACTAATGAATACAAACTACGGAATTCAAGGAATATTAACTATAGACGTTTATCGGTTCGATAATAATTTTACTACTCGTTCACCTAGCGAATTAAAGGGATACGATCTATTGTTAGAAACAATAGTTGCTTGTTGCTCACGTACCGCATGTAAACGTAACGTAGATACTTGCATCGCCATCTGCTACTGGTTCCATATACTATATTCAAATTTCATCGATCGCACCTTTGAACATTTATAGCAAAGTATACACGAAAATTAAAGAAACAATAACCGTTAATACGATTCAAGATGTACGTGTTTACTCTTGCCGATTTCTACAACAGACGAAATACTAGATCGATTCTCGCGATAGTATATATTCCCGTTCTGTAATAAAAATTTATTTAATTAAGCGTACAGAGCTTTTTTCTTGACAGCGATTTTATTGTAAATACACTATATATAAAATAAAATAATGATAAAAATGTACAGCGCGATTACAGATTTACTTGCCGACTATTAATCCCTAAGTTTCTATACACAAAGTCAATCTAGTTATTATGAGATGACGATTGAAAGATCTTTTTTTATTTTAAAACCTCAATTTTCGTTAAAGAAAAGGAATGTATGGACGATGCTAACGAATATACAAACAGGTAACACGTCTATATCGTTCGTCGTAACTATTCGCTAACGAGATATACGATATCTAATACGATATTTTCTCTTTTCGAAATTCCAAAATCAATTCGTCTAAAAATTTATGCAGGGTTATGACACAGTACTTAAACAGGCACGTTCAGTATAAGTACTAATCTTATCCAGTCTCCTATAATAAATGATACTTAAAATTTATTAAAAAGTATATCTCATTCAGAACAATCTATATTTATTTACGAATGTATTATATATGTATATATATGTGTGTGTATATATATATATATATATATTTTTTTTTTTTTGTTCGTATTTCACGAAATAGAACTACAAAATGTTTAAGGCCAATTATTTGATCAGGAACTAGTATGCCAGATTATAAAACAACGCAGCTCCGGTGTGTAACCGAGAACTGTTGTATATAGGATGATTCTTATAAAAAAAAACCAACTCGATTATTTCCCAAGGTTGAGAAAATATTAAAAAAAATGTTGGCCAGAGACATATGCGGTTCATAGGTGATCGTCGTGTAGTAGAAACGATATTTTTTTTAGAAAGAACAGTCAATGACAACCCTCTCCTTTCAACTAAACATTTTTTTTTGTATCAACAATCTTTGTTAATATATTCTCAAGATATTAAAATAATCGTACAGATTATTCTATAAGATCACCTTATATATTACGTATATGAACAAAAGTTGCCTTCTGTTCGAGGCATATTTTATGGTACAAGAACTGTTTGGCATATTAGAGCTACTAGTAACTCGTATGATTCAATTCTCGTGCTCGTCAAGGTGATCTGTCTTAATATGATGTGTAAACGTGTACTGAGTTGTGAATCGTTTTTTACAATATGGGCATTGATACGGCATCAGAGGATGTGCAGATCTCAAATGTGCGACTGCTAATTCCCGTAAAACGAATGGAGACTGGCATACCCCGCACCGATATCTAAAAAATAAAAAGAAATAAAAGTATTAGAGGCGAAAAAGTCACAATTGTGAACAAACTTTCAACTCCTACCCGCCAGTTGTCCTAATAAGGGTTCGTTTAACGGGGGCTGGTGTACTTTCTTCGTTTATCTCCACTTTCGGTTCGATAGGTAACGTGTATTCCATCGATGTTTCAGGACTTAATTTTGGCATAGCTTCTTCTTCCACCTCCGCTTGTACTTCATGTTTTCGTACCTATGCGAACAAAGTAAAAGATTTTAAATGTAACGAGTAACTGATTGCTCGAAAAGAAAATCCCATGAAACTTACCGTTGTATGCGATCCTTCCATATGCACTCTCATATGAGAATTCTTCGATTGAAAACTATTGAAAGATGCATCGCATTTAGAACATTTGTACCTTTTACCTGTACTCAATGATCCAGATTTTTGCAACGACTTCGAGGCAACTCCTTTTTTACCGAACAAACCTCCCGGTGTACATTGATGCGTCAACAGTGACACTTCTTTGAAAAATATTTTGTTACACTTTGAACAGTGATATGTTTTATCAACGATGTGCGTTTTCTGGTGTATTTTATATGTATTCTTGTCGACAAATGATTTATTGCATACATTACATACATACATTGGTACAGACTCGTTACGCTTGTGAGACATCTGTTATTAAATAAAACATATTAAAAAACACGTAAAGATGAATAAAAATAAAGCGTGTGCAATTGATGCATACCTCGTGTCTAAATAATTGCCATTTTTCCTTGAAAGATTTCTTACATATGTGACAAGTAAAATTCTTACAAGTATTGTTGTCTGAATGTGTTTGCAAATGAGTTAACATCGTGGTATGATCGCTAAACCATTGTAAACATATTCCACATCTTGCTACATTTTTAAACGTATTGGTATTTCTTTTTGGAGGTGGTTCTTCTTGATTGGGAATATCCGTTCTTTCCACTGCCTACAAATTACAATGTTAAAATAAATGTATTATAAATTTGTCGAGTCTTCGAGTAGCATGCAGCTAAAGAGGTATAACCGAACCTCCCAGTATGTTCTGGTTCTTGCACGAGTTCTCGCGTCTCGAGCTTCTCTGGCTTCTCTCTCAGCATTGAATGCTTCCTCTTGTTCAACGCTACCCGTTACAGGGGACATCGTAGGCTGTTGGCTGTGTTCGCTCATTCTATGTGCTGCTAAACGTATAAGAAGTCCAAAAGATCGTCCGCATATATCACATTTGTGTCTCTTAGGTTCGTGGGTACGCATATGATTCGACAATGCGCTTTGTTGAGTACAGACCTTTCCACAAGTAGGACATGTAAGCGATTTGGTAGCTTCTACAAAATGTTCTCTCTTTACTTCCTTCGGAGGTTCCTCAATTTTTGAAAGCGCAACCGATTGTTGATCCGTCGCTGGGGTTGCTTTCATCGATGTGTTGTTACTGTCTTCGTGTAATTGAGTATGATTTTCGTAATCTTCTACGTTCGGGAAAAATCTATTGCATAACGAGCACCATGTATTGGTACCGATTTCGATCGCTTCGGCCAAATGATCGCGTAACCTGTGCTGCTTCAACATTTCCCAGCTAACAAATTGTCTATCGCATTGATCGCAATCTTTATCGCTTCTATAAAAATCTACAGACACTTTCAAGTGACTAGTGGCTTCGTGTTTAGCTAACTCTTCTACTAATTCAAAACACATTGAACATTTTCTACACGTGTACTTTCTTGGACAATGTAACTGCATATGTTTCACTAAGCCCTCCTTTGTTTTGTAGTAACTATTGCAAGGAGCACACCACCACTTAGAAGACAGCTTCTCCTTTGAATTCAAGTCCTTTCTATCGTTCATTGTTACTCTACCCATCAATACCTGCTCCAATATACTCGTCCGTTTTTCTTCTTTCTCTATCTCTACTTCATCTTGAGAATCTGTACTCTCACCTTTTAACGAATTTGTATTATCATCTACTATCGCGTCTGTCTTATATAACTCGCTTTCTATGCTGTTTATATTCGGCGATTCGTACATATTAACATCAGTTTCCAATATCGGTTCTGTATTCATTTCTTTGATCTCTACTTCGCAAGGTAATTCGGGTAATGATTCGATACAAGTGTTTGGGTGTTCTCGACTAATATCTGTCGGCGTCGATGGACATTCGACTGGCAGTGTGGCTGGCAAAGGGACTAAAGGTGGCGGTGCTCTCGACTTTTCCCTCCATAGCTGGGCCTGAAAATTGTACACAAACAAAACTGAAACTAAAGTTGATTTAATATGATCGAGTAGTTACGAAAGAATATATACCTGACAAGGATCGGGCGAGTTTTTCATTGCATCTAGATAAATCTGAACAGACTCGATGTTCTTATATGTTAATAACTTTAAGTGCATACTCTTATAAACGCTCAGACAATATTCTCTAAACTCGTAAACATCGTCCAGCCTTGCAGCACAGAACTGACATATTTGCTTTGGCAGTGGATCGGTTTTGTACACTAAGACAGGCAGACAAGCGCGTAACTTTTGCGCGACTTTACGTTGCACTCCCTCGTTACCGAAAATTGACAGCATCTCGTTCTTCTCCTCCGAGCATAGTCTGCAAGCATTCTCCCACTTGTTGTTGGGTATAGCCATTGTAAACAAGTTGTTGGTAACAAAACTGCTCGAAACTGCTGCTCCTTACGACTTTT